AAATAAGCTAATTCTCTCTCATAATATCGGCAACAATCGCACGCAGTTTTTAGTGATTATCGTCTTTCTAATCAAATGGTCGTAAAAGCTTAAGTTCCACCCAATATTTTTCCTATATTCAATTTTAGTCTATTAAATGTGTCAAAAAATTTATCCTAATTGATCAGAAATCAATAGCGTAAACAAACACACAAACAGACATTCTTCTTTACATGTATAGATTTTGTAAAACTTAGAAATTTTTGTTTTTTGAACATCAATCCAAATATTAATGCAAAGTCTACTATTTGAAAGCGAGCAGTGGCAACAACTTTCGAAATAAAGCAGATTTTTAGCTCCAGCTTGCGAGAATGTTGAATATAGTAGTGACTGAGCAATTAGCGAACAAATACACAGACGTTTTCTTTATATATATAGATATAAGGCTTATATAAATGTTATAGAATGCTTATTATATAAAACTTACATGATTATAAGAAAAGCAATTTGTTTTCTTGCACAGAATTGGGAAGGAATATTGTGAAATTTATTACATCGCTCATAATTTTTTGAGAGAATGGTAAAAATTTCAAACTATTATTCATTATCTTTCATTTTTCTTTTGTATGTAAAATGTGTATTTAAAGAGATTAAATTTGCTAATCTCAGAATTTAACTAGATAAAAAATATATATGCAACTGCTTCTTGGCATTCATAACGTAAAATGCTTAATTATTTTTAAAATAAACCTATCACACTCGTTTAATAAGGTTTTAAATCATTAACTTGCCTTCCTAGCAGTATTTGGCTTTTCCATAATAAGCTGATAAAAAAGTTACCATTCCAAAGAAATGAAATGAAAATAAAATGCAAAGCCCTTTCATAGAATCCGATCGATTTCAAAGTGAACTTAATTTCACTTACTTAAAGAATAAGAGTTAATTAAGCCTACGGTTATAGCGTTACTTTACTTTATTATTGATGAGCGATGAGTGCAAACCATTACTCGAGAAGATACATTTCATTTCCAATTCTTTTACGTTTTATCAAAGATCTTTTAAGAATGCAATCATTTTCATTGTTACCTTCCATGCATTCATCTCCAACTTTTTTCTTTCTTATTTTAGGTTTGTATGTTGTATCTTTTTTTTAATGTGTAGGTGGGAAAATAGAAAGATAAAATTTCCTATTGTCACGATGAAAAATATGACTCATCTATGATGCGAAGATGCTGAGATCTCTTTTGCATTTCCTCTTCGGAATCTCAGAAGCAAGTTGGCGTAATCATTTATTTAGATAAGAAGATCGTTCGAAAATTTAATTTTGAAGGATAGCCGAATATGAGGAGGAGGGTAAACCGCCCCCTCCTCATATTCGGCTATCCAATTATAAAAAAACTCTTCCCAATTAAAATAAACTATACACTTGAATTCTCTTAATCCACAGATGTTAGTAAATGCATATTATTTGAGGCTCAATGTAGCTTGAGTCATTTTCTCGATGTAAAGAGCGATAATATGCCGTGAACATCAATCCAAATATTAATGCATTTATAAAAAATCGCGAAATTTAAATGTTAGCGATTAATGAAACTGATAAAACGAAAGCACTGCGAGATTTTTCTACTATTACGCCATGCATTTATAACTGCGAAACAAATATGAATTAAAACATAAATGACATACACTCACATGCATTACGATTTAGCATTGACAAGAGCAATGGAAGCTCATTGGTCCATTTTCGAAACCCCTCCCTCAGTGGCTACGCTGATATGCACTTGTGAAATATGCCGCCGGGACTCGAGCCTCGGATCTTTCGAATACGCGTCGAGTGTGCTAACCAGTACACCTCGAAGGCATGCTAAGAAGGCGGGAGAAATACCTCATAAAGTGTTTTAAAATTTGTAAGAGAACGATAAAGAGTGAAGCTTCTATAAACTACGTTGCTAATGAGGCTACTCCTTTCACTAGTTCAGAAATTAATAGTGTTATTGAAAACCTTAAATGTAATAAAACTCCTAGTCTTGATTCTATTGCAAATGAAATTTTTGAAGCAGGTTCATAGAATGCTTCCAAATCTTCAATACTTGTCTCAAGCTTTGTTCACTTTCGTTGGCAATTCCAAATATCGGTCGATAATTTATGTAGGCCATCTGGATATACTACGCACTTGCTCAGCTTTTTTGGAAGATATTACTGAAATTATTGTTCTGTAACAGTTTGGAAATACAGATTTTTGCTTCGCTATGTAAATACTTAAACTCAATTAACTATCTTCCGACATAGAAACCTTAATTTAAAAATCATCCGAGTTTGATAGCTTTTACTTAAGAACCATTGATGTATACATGTATCTACATAGTTTGATAGCTTTTACTTAAGAACCATTGATGTATACATGTATCTACATAGTACACATCTTACATAAACTTTTCAACGCTTTAACTATGTTAGAACAAATTTATTCTTTCTTGTATTTCCATCTGACAAACGCCAGAATTCAACTGCATGCGAAATTGCGATAAGCAGTCAGAAAAATCGACAGACGATCGTGCTTTGCGAATCAACATCCGATATTTATTGATTTTAGGTGGCATCACTGTAAACTCTCTGCCTACTAACGTGAAAATAAATCCCAAGGTAAACTCCGACATGCCCTGGTAATAAATCGACACCAATCGAATCTGGAATCTCGTCATTTTTTCGCATTCTACTCCGAGGCGAGTGTTCTTTTAGAATGATTGATCATCGGCTTGCGCAAGGAACAAGGATTCGAGGTTCAAATGTGGAAGAACCTGAAGCGCTTTTTTTTCAATAAAATTATCGAATTTCTTAAATGGAAGGGGTATTTCAGAAATTTCGGCACACGAAATAGACTACAAACGCTTCCTAAGGAGAATATATGAAGACTCTTACAGAAATATTTGATAGCGTTGAAACAAATTTGTGCTTGTTCATATTTTTTGTTAGTTTCGTAAACGAAGTCTCACTAATTGTGAGATATTAAGTACCTTTTCTTAGGAATGGAAAAAATTTTTATTTAATAACAGTGATTTATTAAATGTAAGGATTCAAATGAAAAAAAAAATGTATACGATTCATCATGGTATTTGTATTGAATATCTATTTCATTATTATAGAAACAAAATACTAAAATCTGAAAGGTTTCAGATTTTAAATTACAAAGGACATTTTTTTAAACATTTTGTGTGTTATCTTATAAGGTATTTCTCCCACTTCCCTAGCGTGCCTTCGTGGTGTAACGGTAGCACGCTGGACCGGTATTCCAGAGGTCCGTGGTTCGATTCCCGGTGAAGGCGGTTGCATATTTTTCATCTCTCCGGCTTCCAATTAATCTAATGAATCTACAAGTGGCGCCCGAACTAAAAGGGTTGTGGATGATGATTCTCCGCACCCAGGATTTGGCGACTAGGTCCCCTAAAACCCTAGTCGCCTTTTAAAAAGGGGAGTATATAAGGTATTTCTCCCACTTCCCTAGCGTGCCTTCGTGATGTAACGGTAGCATACTAGGCCGGTATTCTAGAGGTCCGTGGTTTCCCGGCGAAGGAGGTTGCATATTTTTCCTCTCTCCGGCTTCCAATTAACCTAATGACTTTACAACCTTTATTTATTAAATATCATGTTCTTCACATTTAAACCATAAAATTCATTTCAAGAGCAATATCGCAAAATAATTTTAAATTGAGCATATCTTTAGAATTTCCAATGCTACGCAGTTCCGCGTGGGCTGATAAGATAAAAAGGTCCGAGATAAAAAGGTTTTCCGCCCCCCCCCCGCAGAGTGTTGCTATGGCTCACTTTTAAATCGCTGAGTTTGTTAATCAAAAATTCCTTAAAGTGTTACAAAATGAGAAATCGATAATAAAACAAATTTCAAATTCCAAATTCTGGTTTCAGATGTCCATATTCGGTGGAAGATTCCGTTATTCAAGACTGGATGGCTCTAGCTACCGTCGTTTTATCACAAAGCGAGAAACATACACACATTTATGCAGATTCTTCATTATTTAATTTCTTTAAATATAACACAGGGCTCAAATATTTGGTGGCAAAAATTTTGAAAAAGAATCCACATTTATAAAGTGTATAAGGTATTTCTCCCGGCTTCCTAGCATGCCTTCGTGTTGTGGTGGTCTGCACGCTAGGCGCGTATTCCAGAGGTCCGTGGTTCGATTCCCGTCGAAGGCGTTGCTCATTTTTCAATCTTTCTTGCTTCCGAAACAACCTAATATCTCTCTACAAGTGAACCAACGCAAAATGCCAAAACGAAATTAATAGCACCTCTGGGTTAACGCCCCTTGGGGTAATAATTAAAAAATACATACCTAAAAGGAATTAATGAAAGTTTATCCCTTAAAACTACAGCAATATTGTGACAGGATTACCTGCTTTACTCTTTGTATTGCATTTTCAAGCAAAGCGGAACTGACGTGATGAAAACGGAATGCCATTTACGGTACTGAGATGCAAACTGTGATGTGTCATATACAAAGAATGATGAAGATATTTCTCTGCGGCAATCAAACATTATGCATTCGAAAATCGACTATTCTACTGTTCATGACGTTTATGAAAGTTAATTCTCATACTTCTTATAAATCATTAATTGTGATATCTGTTTCTTCTCAATATTTGGATTCTCAATTACCAAATGTTTTATTCAATACTGAGATGAAATTATCTGTCATTAATTTCAATAGAAATTTCATCAGTGCTCCCCATCCAGGATAAACGTCAAAGCCACCCGAAATTAGAGGGCGAAGCAAATAAAAGAAAGAAAAGTAAAACTAGCGAATGTTTAAGCAGTCCTTATTAGGGGTACGAACGGTGAACTTAATTGAGATATAACACCTCATTCTACGTCACTCAAGGCTCGACCCTCTTTTAACCAATGACCATCAAGCAATCTACTACGCCCGCTTACGTATTTGGAAGCCACACTGTATAAAGCAGCTAAGATTGTCATTCGATAATCACAACATACAAAAAGTGAGAGGTCAACATTTTATTAGCCAAGGCTTCTGCTTATTGGTAAGTATGCTTTTCCTTAAACCTATCAGTGATAAGTGTTCACGTGATCGCAGCTTAACTGGTGTACTAGATGTTTTTCTCAAAGTTCATAACATAATACGTGCTGTAATTATCTCGATAACTTAATTTTAGACAGTTTCATGACATTCATTGCAAGTTTCATATATTAAAATACTTCGGAGGCTTTCCTGTTTTAGGATTGTATTATAACATATTATTGCAGCTCGTAAAAATACTTACGATGCGCAACGGTAACGAATTCATGCAGGTATAGAATTAGGATGCAGAAAACTAGTTATAATATTAATAATAAAAGATAAAGATCTGCTACCTTTATATATTAATTATCACGTTCTTCGCACTTAAACCATAAAATTCAGTTCAAGAGCAATATCGCAAAATAGTTTTAAATTGAGCATATCTATAGAATTTGCGATACAGATTCTCGGACGCTGGAGATAAAAAATGAATTTTCTGTGCAAAGTTACCATTCTTTGCTTCGAAATACTTGAATTTGTTAATCAAAAATTCCTTAAAGTTTTAGAAAATATGAAATCGATCATAAAACAAATTCCAAATTTCAAATTTGGGCTTCCACATGCCCATATTCACAGTACGTCATTCAAAATTTGATGGCTGTATGTACCGTTGTTTTATCACAACGCGAGAAATATACATACATTAATGCAGATTTTTCATTATTTAATTTCTTCAAATATAATGCAGGACTCTAACATTGGGTGGCAACAGTTTGAAAAGTGAAACGGACATTTATAGTGAACCAACGCAAAAATCGCAAAACGAAAACAATAGTCCTTCAGGCACAAGTCCCTTTGGACTAATAATAATACTTATCTGATAATTTAACGAGGTTTTTCGATAAAGAAAGAGAATTATTTTATACAGAAATTCAGCTTTATGATTAAAAATAACTTTCAAACTTTATGATACATATACGTAATATATTGTTACGGTTTTTGTATTTAGTTTGCTATTTTTTCTAGTAGAATTGTTATTAAATTGTTTCATTTCCCCGCGCAATGCTGCGCGCGACAAGTTTTAAGAGAAGCTACGCCGAAAAAATAAAAATACAGGAGCACGTTCATTTAACATTTAATAATAAATAGATATCTCGTAATTGTACTCTTAAGCTATCCAGAAAAATTGAGAAAATAGTTCTCGTGCATGATTAAAAAGCTTATAAAAGCCGGATCAAAACATCTCGATTCAGTTGTTTAGTAGTTGTTTACGTAGTGCTGTTATTGATTATAGCCAATTCGCGGTGAGATCGGATTAGCGTTCTCTGTATTTCGAATTGAGTTCAATTTAACGTTTTAGTAGATTAAAATATACCTACTGTGCGATTTGCGATATTGTACGAATATCTCTGAGGACATTTCAGCATTTTGTTTTAATTCTTGGGATAAGAATAACAGCAATTTACCATGGAACTTTCTCAATCCTCTATTGCAAGATTTAAAACAAAAATTCGTAATAACCAAAATTAACAAAGCCAGTAACAATTTCAGCATTATTTGAAAATTTTTTATGTCTCACTAATTAATACTGAAATGAATAACGCCATTACTTACAAACTTACCAATACACAAGAAAATGTCATTGCAAAAAAGCTAAAAGCAATTCATAAGAAACTACAAATTTCACAACCATCTAACTACAATAAATTAGCAAATCTATATGCTCTTACGAAATTCCATAAATCACCACTCAAATTTAGATATATAGCAAATGGTACAAATAATTATAAAAAGAATATAGATTAAATATTTGCAATTAAAATTTTAAAAAATATGTCTTTTAATTCATCAACTAGTTAACAAGCAACACAACTATAGCTGGATTATTTATCATAATGCTCCAGTTCTCAACAAATTTAAAAGTTTAGAAATCAAGAACATTAACTGCTATGACTTTGAAAACTTTTATACTTCTCTACCATTGGAAGAAATTTTTACTAGTTTAATGCAACTCCCACAACTTTTTCCTGACATGCTTAACATCCTTTGAATTGAAAGATGGAATACTTACTTGAATTGTGCATTATTTAATAACTGAATTAAATAATAATAATAAGATCTTTCAGCAGGTGAGTGGAATACCAATGGGAGCAAACAGTACTACACATATATGTAACCTATTTCGTTTTGCTTATGAATATAAATTCAAACTAAGTTTGAATAAGAATGAATTAAAGTTATTTGCAAATACATTTAGATACATAGATGATATTATAACTTTCAATAATAATTCTGCTTTTGAACAATTAAAAAATTTACCCAAATAGCTTAAAACTTAATAAGACTAATACAAATCAAGGTACTATTGAATACTTAGACCTGCTGATAATTAAACACAGCAAATTAAGTTATATAATAAAAGGAGGAATTTCCATTTTAATACTATTAAACTAATTAATTAGAACTCTAATATCTCTAGAAAAGTAATGGGTAAGACTTTTTATAGCCAAATAATCAGAATAAAAATATATGTACTGAAATAGAAGATCTAAAGGGAAAAATAATAAAGCTAATTAACGTTCAAGTTAATAACCAAGTTCCAACACAATTTATTAATTTACATATTAAAAAGGCAGGCATTAACTTTTCTTTATAATTTTTTGACTCTTTATGGTATGATAACATTGCCTTAAACATTAACTGGAGGGTAATGGAGGATTTTGAAGAGCTAAGGGATTATCTTGTAAATATTGTAAATATTAATTTGTAAAAATGTATGTTTAATCAATACTGGATTCTTTCCTTTTACTAATGAAGGGCCAACTCTTTTCAAAAGTCTCAATTATAGCCCGAATTGAGTGAAGATTTTTATCTTTTTCTAATTTTCCTTACTTTTGTTCAGTATTTAGTGAAGTTTTTAAAGTTTTGATTACCTGTTGAAATTCAGTTTTCATAATTAAGACTTTACAATTTTTGTTTATTTAAAAACATTTAAAAAAAGCTTCAAAATTAAAATTTAATTTTACTTGAAAAAATTTTGTTCGTACTTTATTTCAAAAACATTTTCGATTTTTTACAATCCTTAATAATTTTTCACATGACATTGCAGTTAGCATTTTTACAATTTTTACGCATTTTTACAATATGCAATATTCACAGTATGCAATATTTCACAACAGAACCCACATTTTACACTACTTAAAAGTTTACAGAATAGGTTTTTTTTTTAACTTAGCAACTTAACACTCAACTTAGCCTTATATTAGCCCCCTCTATTTATAAGTTAGCAGAAACATACTACTTAACTTCACTTAGTTTGGCAAATGCTGCACTCTCCAAATAGGAATATTGTTGGTAAGTTAAATTAAAACTTACTATTATAATTACTATTAAATAATTTAATAATTTTTTAATAATTAAAAGTTTTTAATTAATTTTATTTTTAATTTTTTGTAATAATATTATTTTTTGTATTATTTATGTATTTTTTATAGATAGTATCTAGTTTATTTTTGTTTTACATGCATAATTCGTGTCGGGGAAGTTTTCTGTAGGCAAGAGTTTCTAAATTACTTTGGTTTTCTACTCATGATTGACCTTTTCTAATTGTAATTCTAGTCATTTACTTGCTAATTTCTTAAAATTCCACTTGTTTAAATTTCTTTTTAGTTATTCCTGGCATTTGGTTTTACTTTTGGTTTTGAATTTTACTTTTATCCTTGCCTACATGGATGATGAAACACGAATTGAATGGTTGAAGAGTTAGGTTTGGAGGCAACTTCCCCTTGATAAGTCTGTCTCTTGCCTGCTCAACAGTTATTCACTTATGCATTTTTATAATTTTTATTAGGATTAAAAAACGTTTTTGGAATTAAATATTTATTCATGGCTTTTGATACTTACACTTGATTTGCATATGCCCTCAGAATTTAAATGATATTGTAGATTAGTTCTCAACAATAATTAATCATTTATTTTTTTTGCAATTAAATTTCTTTATTTAAAATTTATTGACTTTACATTTGCTTTTTACGAATAGAGAATGTTTGTTAAATACATAACATATCAATATATTGGTAAATACATATTGATATGTTCTTCTCCAGTCACAGAGCAATTTCTTGACATTTTTAAAAATCTCTAGATAAGGTGACCCAGAAGTCACATTTCTGAGAAATATCGAGATTTTTCATTTCATTAGGTAATCATAATCACGATTATAATAAAAAAGTATTATTTTGAATAACTTCTGATACGTTAGAAGTTTTCTTGAAATATGCATAATACAAGAAATACTAATTTTTAATAAGTACAGCAAATGAAATACTGTTTATTTTTACATATATTAAAGAAATTAAATTTCCAATCGTATTTAGACATTTTTCTTATGAAACAACATTGCATAATAGTTACGTAAATCTAGTTGTGTAAAAATTCCAGATTTCGTGTATGTCTAGCTTTTAATTACGTTGTTATATATTATATTTACTCAATGAATGGAATTAATCTGATATTATTATGTGACCCTCATATTACCAACATATATTCAAAGCAGATTTAAAATTCTAAAAAATTAAGTTGGTTATCAGTTTGTCATTTCGCCGCCAACATTCGTTGATGTCAGTTGATTTTATTTACGTAGTACTCTTGGCAATAATTTATTTTATAAGTTGGTTGTTAATTAATAGATAATCGATTATTCACTGAAAAAAAATTTTTTTTAAATGTACTTAAGGAAATTTACACCGTATGGGTGTCTAACTCTTCGTGTTTTATAAGTATAACATTTACCCAAATATATGTATAGGGACCACACGAATGAGTAAAAAGTTAGATTTCATATTTTACACAAAATTAAATTTTTTAAATTAAAAGATTTGAAAATAAGATTCGTTGCATCATTTAAAACATTTTTTAATTGGAAGTCTATGTCTACTAATAACGGTTGAAAAAAAATCTGAAAGCTTTCAGATTTTACATTACGTATAAAGCGGCGTTTTTTAAACATTTTCTGTGTTACCT